GCAATATGCTGACTCTCTGTAAACCGCTTAGAGAGGCCTGAAAGGCCTATGAAGCGGTATATAAGTCTACTGCTATTGCTATTGCTATTGCTCCCTCTCCCTCTCTCTCTCCCTCTTTCTCTCTCTCTCTCTGGATATCAAAGCAATGAAATAAATTTAGGAACCCTCAACATGCTATGGGAAATGCACAGACAAGATCATCTGCACAGCCTATTTTTCCAGACAGGGCGAATAAAAATTAAATTGTATTTTTAGGAACGTGGGTAGAAGAGGGGAAAAAAAAAAGATAAGCAAGAGAAACGTACAGATGACTCGTCTTGGTCTCAATGAGTTTGTGGGTAGATAAATCGCTGGACAATGATAATATTTTGGATCCGCAGCCGCCCCAGATTGCACTTCTGTCAGAGGAACAATTTGATTCACTTAAACACATCAGTGGCGTGCTCTCACTTCCCACGAGAAAAGTCCTTAAGGGTGTGGCACTTTTGCCCTGCAGAGAAAACACAAGAAAAAAAATAAAAGAAAATAAGCATAGAATAATAGGATTGCAAAGATCCTCTTTTTTTTTGGTAAAAGTTCATTATTTTTCCATTTTAAAATACATACATTCCATCTTTCCTTAAGTAATGTATCGTCTGGGCACAGATATCTGTGCAACATTCTTCCATAAATTATAATACCATGTTTCCCTGAAAATAAGACAGGATCTTATTTTTCTTTGACGCCCTGAAATAAGTGCTTGGCCTTATTTTCGGGGAGGTCTTATTATTTTTGAGGTGCAGGAGGCAGCGAGCGTGGTCACCTCATGGCTGCTGCTGCTGTGCTGCAATATTTTCAGGGAGGGCTCATTTTAGCGTATGCACTCAAAAGCCCGACTGGGCTTATTATCTGGGGGAACAATAGCAATGGCAATAGCAGTTAGACTTATATACCGCTTCATAGGGCTTTCAGCCTTCTCTAAGCGGTTTACAGAGTCAGCATATTGCTCCCAACAATCCGGGTCCTCATTTCACCCACCTCGGAAGGATGGAAGGCTGAGTCAACCCTGAGCCGGTG